CCTTGAGGCTGCGGCCCATACATAGGTATTATATTCCATTTTAGGTCGGATGGTATAAATACGGAGCAGATTGGAGGCAGAGAAGTATTTTCTACAACGTCTTAAGCAAACCAAACATTTAAATGCTTCTTTTGCTATTTCAAAGATATGACGGTTGCATCGTATATCATGATTGTATGGTTGTATCCAGAATCGAAACGACGTCCGATCCATCGATGTTCACATCATTCATGCGGAGGTTGGGTAAAAGAGGCGTTTCAAGCCGTTTATGAGTCAATGAGCAGTATTGGGTTTTGAGGGCATTGAAATGCACACAATACAATTTACCCCACGCGGATAGGGTTTTAGGTCTCGGTTTAGATAGTCAACCATATTAAATCTGGTGAGATTAACCTCGGATGAATCAGGTCTATGGTCATAAGAATATGAATGACATATATTGCTGTCTTCCGCAAATTAAAAAGAGAGTTGAAGAAAGAATAAAGCCCTGAGGATCTCCAGAATTTAGTATATGATCTTTAGAACATGTCCCCTTTATAAATACACTTATATTTGGCCCGCGAAGAAAATTTGAGATAAAAAGGGAAAATACCTTTCCTGCAAATCAGAGCATCATACTCGATCAAATGAATTTGAAATGTCCAATGCCACTACTCTGCTATCACCCATGCGGCGAATTGATCAGCACCACTATTCAGAGAGAAGAGCCATTAAGTCTCCAGTAGATCGACCAGTACAAATATCAATGAAAAAAGCCAAAATTACGATATAAAAATCAACGAAGAAATCCAAATTTTTACTACAACCAGTAGAGAACAAATTTTGTGATATAAAGATCTACTGTAAAGAGATTTAGATGTCGCCGATTTGAATTGATCTAATCTGCCCCTCATCAGAAGATCAACCAGATCTTGTTTGAATGATAATAATCCTTAAAAAAAGAGAACATTTTAGTGCAATTTAAAAAATGTGAAAATATAATATTTAGAAAAATACTGGAAGAGTATATGCAGTCATGGGCTTGAAAGCCTTTTATCCTCAAAGATATATACATGTACTTACTACTTTTTTTTAAGAAAAAAAAACCTAAAATTATGCTAAATTACTAAAAGCCCCTAAAGGTAGACAATATTTTTCTTTTAAAATTTCCTATAAAACCTTATTTCCCTTTATGATACATTCATTTCTTTTTATTAAAATACTTTATTTAAAGCCTTTCAAATTGCTGCAAAAGGTTGATAAATTGTTTTTTAAACTGATTTACCTTGTCTGCTTATTTTTATTTATTTTTTTTTTTTTGCAATTTTTTTTTCAATTTATATACAATGCCAAAAATCAAGAGAAAAACAACATGTTCGAAAAAAAAACTATATTCAAAAAATTCTTCATTTGAACAACAGCTGCTAATTTCAATGTTGTTCGTAAATCTCACAAACATAGAAAAAAATATTTATGTGTTTCGTTTTTATTTGTATTTTATTTTAATTTAATAAATCTTCAATCGTCAGCAAACATATGCCCACACAAGCAGGGATGGGAAGCACAAAAGGAATATTTTAAATATAAACAAAATTTTAATTAAAAATATATATAGTTTTTAAGCTATTAACTTCCATATAAATCTTTAACTCTTAAAACTAATTCTTTCAGATATAAAATTCTATTTGTGCTCTAACTAAGCACATCCACTAAAATTTTTCTTTTTCATTTCAAATTTTTACAAATCTTAATACAATCCCTTCCCTGTTATTCAAAATGTGTTTTATTTGTCGGTTTCTAATTTGTATACACACGTACAACACAAAATATGTATATTTCATATGAATGTACGTACATAAAAATGTATGAATGTTTGTATTTTTCATGTACAAATTATTTGTGTTTTTTTTTTACACATTTCCAAGTAACATACAGAATTTATTCATTAATTTAATTGTAGTGTGTATGTGCGTGTGCTGTTAATTTCTTTTCTAGCTATAGTCTCTATCTGTATACATTTTTTCTGTTGATTTCTGTGTGTAGTTTTAATTAATTTAAGTAGTGTTTTGAGGAAAATTTCATTTCAATTTGATAAATAAACACTAAAAATAAAAATTGCATACTAGTATATACTTTTTTATTACTCGTAATTAAAATTAAAATGCTGCAAAATGCGTTAACAACATATGGCTATTTATTTTATTTTAGTAGAACTTAATATTTCGAGGAAAATTTATTATACTAATATTTATTATAGTAAATTTAATAATCCTAATGCAAAATTTATATGAAAGTTAATAAAACAAGTTTTTGTTTAATTCACGAAAGTTGTGCATTTACTTTGAGAGAATCTATTTGAAAAAAAATTTACTTCAGATGCAATATTGAGAATCCTTGAGATTTGTTGAAGGTGTGAAAAGTCAACAGTCCCGTCTATAATATTATCTATAGTCTAGTCTATAGGTTAATCTACAGTCTATGCAATAGTCTATAGTCTAGTCTATAGTCTAGTCTATAGTCTAGTCTATAGTCTAGTCTATAGTCTAGTCTATAGTCTAGTCTATAGTCTAGTCTATAGTCTAGTCTATAGTCTAGTCTATAGTCTAGTCTATAGTCTAGTCTATAGTCTAGTCTATAGTCTAGTCTATAGTCTAGTCTATAGTCTAGTCTATAGTCTAGTCTATAGTCTAGTCTATAGTCTAGTCTATAGTCTAGTCTATAGTCTAGTCTATAGTCTAGTCTAGTCTATAGTCTAGTCTATAGTCTAGTCTATGTCTAGTCTAGTCTAGTCTATAGTCTAGTCTATAGTCTAGTCTATAGTCTAGTCTATAGTCTAGTCTATAGTCTAGTCTATAGTCTAGTCTATAGTCTAGTCTATAGTCTAGTCTATAGTCTAGTCTATAGTCTAGTCTAATCTAGTCTATAGTCTAGTCTATAGTCTAGTCTATAGTCTAGTCTATAGTCTAGTCTATAGTCTAGTCTATAGTCTAGTCTATGTCTAGTCTATAGTTAGTCTATAGTCTAGTCTATAGTCTAGTCTATAGTCTAGTCTATAGTCTAGTCTACTAGTCTAGTCTATAGTCTAGTCTATAGTCTAGTCTATAGTCTAGTCTATAGTCTAGTCTATAGTCTTAGTCTATAGTCTAGTCTATAGTCTAGTCTAAGTCTCGTCTAGTAGTCTTAGTCTATAGTCTAGTCTATAGTCCTAGTCTATAGTCTAGCTCTATAGTCTAGCTATAGTCTAGTCTATAGTCTAGTCTAGTAGTCTATAGTCTAGTCTATAGTCTAGTCTATAGTCTAGTCTATAGTATAGTCTATAGTTCTAGTCTATAGTCTAGTCTAGTCTAGTCTATAGTCTAGTCTATAGTCTAGTCTATAGTCTAGTCTATAGTCTAGTCTATAGTCTAGTCTATAGTCTAGTCTATAGTCTAGTCTATAGTCTAGTCTATAGTCTAGTCTATAGTCTAGTCTATAGTCTAGTCTATAGTCTAGTCTATAGTCTAGTCTATAGTCTAGTCTATAGTCTAGTCTATAGTCTAGTCTATAGTCTAGTCTATAGTCTAGTCTATAGTCTAGTCTATAGTCTAGTCTATAGTCTAGTCTATAGTCTAGTCTATAGTCTAGTCTATAGTCTAGTCTATAGTCTAGTCTATAGTCTAGTCTATAGTCTAGTCTATAGTCTAGTCTATAGTCTAGTCTATAGTCTAGTCTATAGTCTAGTCTATAGTCTAGTCTATAGTCTAGTCTATAGTCTAGTCTATAGTCTAGTCTATAGTCTAGTCTATAGTCTAGTCTATAGTCTAGTCTATAGTCTAGTCTATAGTCTAGTCTATAGTCTAGTCTATAGTCTAGTCTATAGTATAGTCTATAGTCTAGTCTATAGTCTAGTCTATAGTCTAGTCTATAGTCTAGTCTATAGTCTAGTCTATAGTCTAGTCTATAGTCTAGTCTATAGTCTAGTCTATAGTCTAGTCTATAGTCTAGTCTATAGTCTAGTCTATAGTCTAGTCTATAGTCTAGTCTATAGTCTAGTCTATAGTCTAGTCTATAGTCTAGTCTATAGTCTATAGTCTAGTCTATAGTCTAGTCTATAGTCTAGTCTATAGTCTAGTCTATAGTCTAGTCTATAGTCTAGTCTATAGTTTAGTCTATAGTCTAGTCTATAGTCTAGTCTATAGTCTAATGACTAATCAATTTGAATTTATATAACACGTTATTAGAAATACCTTATTAGACTACTTCTATGTAATCCAGACGATATGTAGTAATCATTGAAAAGTATGTTGTTAAGTAAGTAGTTGCAATTAAAAGCCAATACCCAGTTTTTGCTGGGATACTTATATTAAGTATTTATTTATATTATGTAGTTTTATTTTAAAATTTATTAAAAAAAATTTAACAAATTGATTTACTTTAAAAATAAATCAAATCAATTTGCTGATTGTTAGACTTCATGAGAATCATTAAGAAATATGTATATATCAAGCTATATAATATTTGAGCTTCTTTTAAAAAGAATATAATTTATAACAAAAAGTTTTCAAAAAAATATGATCATAACTAAAAGATTATTCAAAAAAAATCCCATTATGCAGAAGAATTCATACAAAAAAATATATTGAATATAATTTTCAACTTTATAAATCTTCTATACTAATAAGCAAAAAAATTAAAGAATTAAGTATAAAACATTTGGAAACTTAGTACCAACATATAACACATTTTGAAATGGGACATTGAAATTTAAAATTACAACAAAAAATGTCTAACAAAAGCCAAGTTTATTATGCTGGTAGTATAAAAAATTGGCATATTAAAATAAAAAATCTTACTGCAGGATACACAAAAAAAGGACACACATACACACGCACAACAAAATGAAATTTTCCTTAAAACGAGCATTAAAAAGTGGTATATTTTTAAAAATGAATAATAAATTTATCTCTACGTGTTTGTGAATGTCCTTTTGAAAATAAAAATGTAATGAAAAATAAAAAAAATAAAAAATGATGAATCAAAAGAAATGTTTGAGCCATCATTAAAAACAGAAAGACAAAGTCGCTCTAGACAACGTTTTTATTACCAGCGACCACATACACCGGTGCATCAACATCAATTGGAACAAATCAAAACGCAATACTTAAGCCATCAGCACGATATAACAATTGACCGTGATACAGTTTTAAAGATAAATCGCCTGGCAACACGAAGAAATTTACATAAACGTGAACACAGCTGGCCACCGACAACAATGACAGCAACTGGATGTATTGTCAACAACAATGAACTACTAAAGAATGTTGATGAAAAGGGAAAAATATTAAGTCCACAGCAGCAGCAGCATATACGCAGTACTTCGCACGACAATGCGTTACAATTTGATGAAACTGTTTGTAAACGTCATGGCATTGATGTTATACGGGAAAAATTCAATAGTCCCACTAGAATAATTGAACCCACTGCCCAAGAGGTTAGACAAAGAAGGCAGCAACAACGTAAGTTACAGCAACAAAAACAACAACACCAAAAGCAGCAGCCACAACAACAGCAACAAACTAGAAGTCGAAGTGATGATGCTGGAGGTGGAGTTGATGGTCTTGGTGGGGAAGTTGCAAAGAAAAAACCTAAACAAATGATTAATCTGTTGAAACATGAAGAGCTATTGAGAAAAAATTCCCCCAATAAATCAGCCACTATGACGGACACCAGAGCTAATGCCCAAAGGACCACGAATGAAAATGATGCAGTGGAAAAAAATAATGAAAACCTACCTGGACAGCAAACAACTAGTGACAAATCAACTGAAATGGAATGTGACAAAAACATAAAGGCCAAAGATGAAGCCGAAGATGAACTATTTAAAACCACTACTTTGCCAGTGGCTAAAGGCTTTTCTCATCCCGAAACTAAGGCAGCCGATGAAGATATAGGTTTAGTGGAACCCAAAAGACAATATTATGAACAATTATGTTCCAGCAAGAAATGGCATAGTTATGAAAATCTTTTGGCTGCAGCAAGTGGAAAGCCAGTCTTAAGCAAACCCTTAGCTCCGCAAATGCACAGACGTCAAGCTTATTCCCTAGAGAGAGGACGCGAAGCACGCCAACACAAACAATTGCCACCACAAAAGCCCAGAATTTCACCCAAACTACAAAGACGTTCTATGAAACTAGCTACTGAGATAAAGATTTCATATGATGCCGATGCCCAGCAACATAATATACAAGTTAAATCCTTAAATCAACCCAAAAAGCCGCAAACTGCAGCAACAGTCCCAACCACTACCCTTGATGACTTAGAGCATATACCCTTACCGGCTACACCAGATAAATGCCGTACTGTACCAGTGACTGTAGAACAAAATGGTGAACAACACAAAGAATTTGATGCAAAAACAAAGTCCTTAAAAGACCAACAAATTTATGACGATTCATGTATATATTTAAGATCCATAGATTTACAGGATAATACCATAGCTTATATACCAGCTGCCATAACAATTGTGCCCTCACCAACGGAGGAAATAATGCAACATTGGATGGAATCCAGTAACCTTAAGGCCAACATTAAAGGGGTTAATGATATTGAGACAGCAGACAGCAGCAATACAACAAGCAATGATTTGCAGAATGAAAAAAATGAAAATTTAATATCAATGTTAAAACAGGAATCTGTTAAATCAGCAGTAAAGCCGGAGGGTATTAAACAACAACAGAGGCACAAGCAACAACAAAATGACAAACATGAAGCTGGCGTTGAAACGAAAGCAGAGACAGACACGTATGTGACACGCTTGCCAAGCACACCCAACGGCATACAGCTAACACGTCAAACTAGTGTCAACACTAAACGTAGCAGCAACAACAACGAAGACAACAAAATATCCACTACCTCACCGATGACAATTGAAACAGCAAAAACACACGCAACTATACAGCCAAAACAACAACAACATGAATCTCAAGCTCCAGGGGTTAAGCATTCAAATGCAACAGCAACAACAGAATGTAATAAAACTGCAAAAGAAGTTGACAAACCAGAGCAACAAGGTGTTTACTATACAGATGGTGAATTTATATATGGTCCCTATGATCCTTATAATGGAGCACCACTTGCCAATGCCACGGTACGTTCCTTAGAAGCTGAACAGCAACAAAAACAACAACAGCAGCAGCAGTTATATCAAGAATCGAACCAAATTAAAAAAGATATTGAAGCGGAAACAAAAACTCAGCATAAAAATGAGATTGCCAATCTAACAGCAAAATATGAACATATACAGAAATCCATAAACGAACACCTAAGGCAAATTGATGCATATATTGAAAATGCTAAAGCGGCATTAAAATCCACCATAGCAACTGGCAATAAACCGGAGTCATCTTCTCCCTCTTCGCCTCATATTTCTGAAAAGGACCGACATTTAACTGCACAACCACAATTACACTATGAAAATAACTTAAAGTCACCACCAAACGAAACCCCTTTAAAGGAAATTTTAAGAAAAATCACTAACATCATGCAGGAAGTGAAACCTTTACACCGGAACCAAAAAGCTAACAAACAGGAAATATACATGCATGAACCTACAACTGGCAATGCACAACAAGATGGAGAAGAAAATATGCCTATAGTGGATAAAGTTTTAATGGATCTAAATATGTTGACCAAACATTTAACAGAATTTGATAAGACTACCAGTCAAGAGCTTAAACCAATTATGGAACAACTTCAACAAACACCACTGGACTTGCAATTTGAAACGAGACCTACTGCAACAACAGCCTCACATGTTCTTATAACAGAAGAGACAACAAACAAAGAAAATTCATTGGAAACAGCAAAAAATCAACAGCTCAAAGAAGTAAAAACTATACAATTACCACCGCCGCCGCCACCACCACTACCTCCTTCTCCTTCAAAACCAAACAAGAGAAACCAAGAAAAGAACATATTGGAGATGAGCAATTATTGGTCAATGACAAGCTAATAACAACAGCTCAAATACAAAGTCAGCAACATACACCAGTGACGTCAAATTTTCTACAAAAAGAAATGACAATGTCAGCGTTAACGCCGAAGGATAAGGCAGAAGATACTACCACCACCACCGCTACCAAGGATAAAATGAAGAATTTCGTTTATGGTTTTATAACAGCACGACATGAGCAGGAACAACTTGTCGGGCAAGTAATTGACACACTGGAAAAGTTGGAAAATGAAACGAAAGAAAATCTAGTTAACATACACGTACCACCTGCACCTGATGATGAGCAGATCAAATCAAATTTAAATCAACAAACACCAACATCACCATCAAGCTCAACATCAAACACACAAACAAAAAAGGAAGAGGATAAAGCAATAATGCAAAATTGCAACATTTCCGTTTTGGCAAATGCCTCTGGCAAAGATGCTTGTAATCATGACAATCATGATCCAAAATCAACTAAAGGTAATGAATCTCAGCTGAAATTGCATATTAAGGATTTTGCTGACAAAATAGCTGATAAGCAATTTCAAAAATATGACAACCAACCACCAACGAAGAATACCAATGATGTGGTCAACACTAACAGTAATAATAACAAACCTGGCCAAAGGCATCATATAACAACAGCACATGAACATAATAATAAACATGTAAGTTCTCATCATCAGGACGATGACGTTGCTATTCCTGATGAGGATGACAAGGATAATAAAATAAAGAAGATGATGGAACAGGAGCAACATCAAGAGGAGGAAGGTGATAGTAATCGTAGCAGTGCCAGTGAATTAAGTAACACTTATAAATCCTCCTATGAACTTCCTAGTCCATATGTAACAGTGCGTCAAATATCCTGGGAGGATGTTCAGGCAACAACCACACAAACACCTACAAACTTTACTACTAATCAGAAACAAAGTGAGAAAGTTGAAACTGCTATAGCAGCAGTATCAACACCAAAACATGACATACCAAATGCACAAATATGTTCAAAATCTCCAGTAACATTTTGTGCGAAGACTGCAACATTTACGCCGGTACCGCCAGTCACGACAAGTGGTCACGTTGAAATGCAATCAACGACAACATTAAAAACACGCATACAAACTAGAAAACAACCATCACCACCAACACAGCAGCCGCAACAACACGACCTTACCCACATTACTGCAGATGAGGGTAGAAAATATCCAGCTCCCCTAATTGAGCCCCATTTGCCAACACGTTCAACATCACCGTTTGGTTTAAATGCCATCGAATTGCCCTTTAAACAACGACGATCACCCTCAGTGTCACCCACACGTCTACGTAAAATAAGAATTGCTCAGGATGCCTTAGCTTCTAGTGCAACCAGAAAATATCCATCACCATTAGTTGAACCTCATTTGCCAACACGAGCCACATCACCATTTGGTCTAAATGCAGTTGAAATGAAAAATGTAAAACGTTCAGCATCAACATCACCCAAACGCACCCAGCATACACAACTGCGAACATCGCCTAGAACAGTTGATGAAATGGCCATACGTAAGTATCCAGCTCCACTAGCAGAGCCTCATGTACCTACACGAGCAGCCTCACCATTTGGTCTAAATGCCGTGGATGTTTTTCATTTAACAAGAGCCACAACGCCAATGCCATCATATGGACTGGAGGTCAAGTACGATGAAGATGAGCAGGAACAAGACTATAACGATGATGATGAACATGAAGATAAACCCATATCACCTATACGTAAATATCCACCAGCACTAATTGAGCCGCATGTACCAACACGAGCTGCATCACCATTTGGCTTAAATGCTGTAGAGACAAAACAAAAAGCTCAACGTCACCGTACACCTTCGCCAGCACGTGGACATCACTATCATCATCCACATTCACATCAAGCGGCAACTTCGAAATCACCCTCCACTGCCACTGACAGTTGCAACAAGACAATCGCTTATGTGCCACAGGTGGAAGGTCATAATATTGGTTTACTAGTACGCTCTAGTACTCCAGCACCCTACTCTCATACAGACACCACCTCTCAGACAACACGTCTTCAAAGTGAGATAAATGCAACAAAGACCTCATATGATTATGCCACGATGACTGCCCGAGATATCAGTGGTAATAAGTACTGTGCGAGAAATGATATGGGACGTGATGCTGCCAACGAAAACGACTACATCTCCGTCGTAGTCACCGATGATGATGAAGCGACATGTGATGAATTACAACGCATTAATACAATTGGCTCAACCAAACAAGGTAATAGCAAATATCATCATCATCCTTATTACCAAACAACAACAGAAACAACATAATCAATAACATTCTCAATACCAAACAGATAATAAATACGTGCTGTGAAATCGTAAATCATTTTCAACAAAATGACAGTTAAAACTATAAGATGAAAAACTGTACACAAAACTATCAATACTTCAAACTCAAAATACAATATACACGTTAAAATACATTCATACTCCTCGTACTTACATACATACAACATCCGTGCCTTACAACATGCAACCAAATAGTTTTACGCTCCATTAACAAACGACAGTCATGCAATTTTATTTGAAAATGTATATTTTATTAAAGTAAAACAACCAAAAATGCGTAATTTAAATACCACAGGTACTACAACAAAAACAATGGATCAGCCTCAAAAACAAGAGCAACAACATAATCATCATCATCCACATCAGGAACAATATAGTGGCAATGCAAGCAGTAGCGGTCCACATATGGCCGTTGACGTGATTTTACTACCAACATCTGTTATTAATCGTTCATTTGATAATGTTTCGCCTCGTCCATATATTTCGATAGAAGGTACGTTTTCCAAAATTTATATCAACAAACCAACAAAACTAAATATGAATGTGATTCTCTCTACGTATTTAAACAAAACTAAATGTTGATGCATAAATATCCTGTCAAAAATCTAAGTGTATGTGTATAATGTATGTTAGTATACATGTATTCGTGTGTTTGCCTAAGTGACTACCACTAAATTTATGAATAACCGGATGTGATCTTTGACTTTTGTTCCTGCTATTGCTGTGTACATGTACATACATACATAGTTATATAAATGTAAAGTTGTTATTATGTATTTTGACATTTTGTATGAATTCGAAATTTTGTTTCTCGGAAATCAGTTTACGCATAATTAGTTTATTTGTATGAAGGTTTAGTTATTTATTAACGTGTCCTGTTTAATTTATGAATTTACATAGCTAATAAGTTAAACTAATAATATGTAGTGATGTAGCATTTAAAATAAATGTTTAGAGAATGTATACCGAATTAGCATATTTTCTTAACAACAGTTTTCAAAGAAAACCTACATGATGGATAAAATTTGTAGTTCAGTTCTAGTTCAGTTCTAGTTCAGTTCTAGTTCAGTTCTAGTTCAGTTCTAGTTCAGTTCTAGTTCAGTTCTAGTTCAGTTATAGTTCAGTTCTAGTTTCAGTTCTAGTTCAGTTCTAGTTCAGTTCTAGTTCAGTTCTAGTTCAGTTCTAGTTCAGTTCTAGTTCAGTTCTAGTTCAGTTCTAGTTCAGTTCTAGTAGTCAGTTCAGTTCAGTTCTAGTTCAGTTCTAGTTCAGTTCTAGTTCATTTTCTAGTTCAGTTGTTCAGTTCTAGTTCAGTTCTAGTTCAGTTCTAGTTCAGTTCTAGTTCAGTTCTAGTTCAGTTCTAGTTCAGTTCTAGTTCAGTTCTAGTTCAGTTCTAGTTCAGTTCTAGTTCAGTTCTAGTTCAGTTCTAGTTCAGTTCTAGTTCAGTTCTAGTTCAGTTCTAGTTCAGTTCTAGTTCAGTTCTAGTTCAGTTCTAGTTCAGTTCTAGTTCAGTTCTAGTTCAGTTCTAGTTCAGTTCTAGTTCAGTTCTAGTTCAGTTCTAGTTCAGTTCTAGTTCAGTTCTAGTTCAGTTCTAGTTCAGTTCTAGTTCAGTTCTAGTTCAGTTCTAGTTCAGTTCTAGTTCAGTTCTAGTTCAGTTCTAGTTCAGTTCTAGTTCAGTTCTAGTTCAGTTCTAGTTCAGTTCTAGTTCAGTTCTAGTTCAGTTCTAGTTCAGTTCTAGTTCAGTTCTAGTTCAGTTCTAGTTCAGTTCTAGTTCAGTTCTAGTTCAGTTCTAGTTCAGTTCTAGTTCAGTTCTAGTTCAGTTCTAGTTCAGTTCTAGTTCAGTTCTAGTGCAGTTCTAGTGCAGTTCTAGTGCAGTTCTAGTTCAGTTCTAGTTCAGTTCTAGTTCAGTTCTAGTTCAGTTCTAGTTCAGTTCTAGTTCAGTTCTAGTTCAGTTCTAGTTCAGTTCTAGTTCAGTTCTAGTTCAGTTCTAGTTCAGTTCTAGTTCAGTTCTAGTTCAGTTCTAGTTCAGTTCTAGTTCAGTTCTAGTTCAGTTCTAGTTCAGTTCTAGTTCAGTTCTAGTTCAGTTCTAGTTCAGTTCTAGTTCAGTTCTAGTTCAGTTCTAGTTCAGTTCTAGTTCAGTTCTAGTTCTAGTTCAGTTCTAGTTCAGTTCAGTTTTCAGTTCTAGTTCAGTTCTAGTTCAGTTCTAGTTCAGTTCTAGTTCATTCAGTTCAGTTCTAGTTCAGTTCTAGTTCAGTTCTAGTTCAGTTCTAGTTCAGTTCTAGTTCAGTTCTAGTTCAGTTCTAGTTCAGTTCTAGTTCAGTTCTAGTTCAGTTCTAGTTCAGTTCTAGTTCAGTTCTAGTTCAGTTCTAGTTCAGTTCTAGTTCAGTTCTAGTTCAGTTTAAGTTCAGTTCTAGTTCAGTTCTAGTTCAGTTCTAGTTCAGTTCTAGTTCAGTTCTAGTTCAGTTCTAGTTCAGTTCTAGTTCAGTTCTAGTTCAGTTCTAGTTCAGTTCTAGTTCAGTTCTAGTTCAGTTCTAGTTCAGTTCTAGTTCAGTTCTAGTTCAGTTTAGTTCAGTTCTAGTTCAGTTCTAGTTCAGTTCTAGTTCAGTTCTAGTTCAGTTCTAGTTCAGTTCTAGTTCAGTTCTAGTTCAGTTCTAGTTCAGTTCTAGTTCAGTTCTAGTTCAGTTCTAGTTCAGTTCTAGTTCAGTTCTAGTTCAGTTCTAGTTCAGTTCTAGTTCAGTTCTAGTTCAGTTCTAGTTCAGTTCTAGTTCAGTTCTAGTTCAGTTCTAGTTCAGTTCTAGTTCAGTTCTAGTTCAGTTCTAGTTCAGTTCTAGTTCAGTTCTAGTTCAGTTCTAGTTCAGTTCTAGTTCAGTTCTAGTTCAGTTCTAGTTCAGTTCTAGTTCAGTTCTAGTTCAGTTCTAGTTCAGTTCTAGTTCAGTTCTAGTTCAGTTCTAGTTCAGTTCTAGCTCAGTTCTAGTTCAGTTCTGAACTAGAACAATCTCTTTGTTGATTTATCAATTAACCAAACATTAGAAAACTTATTGAACATATAATATTGACAAATTACTAAGCCTATTTCACTTAAAACAATTAAAAAAATACTTTACAATAGAAATCTTCATCAAAAAACATTTTTGTAACAAAAACCCAATCTATTAAAATATTATACACTCAATTTAGATATTATCTAGAAATTGAAAAAAGAAATCTATAAAATTTTAATTTGTTTCCTTTACTTTCAATCATTGTCGAATCTTTCTCTTACAACAAATTTGTTGCTTAAAATATTTATAAAAACATACAAAAACAATAAGAGGAAATATTTTTGTCTGAATTCTTAAAATTTATACAATTGTCAATCTTTATATTATTTTTTGTAAACACTTGTATGAATAGATTTATCTTTTGTAACCTTATTGGAATGTTTGTCAAATTCTTTTTAAAATAAATTTAATAAAAATTTAAGTATTTTTCAATTATTTAAATAAAACTAGTTAAGTAAAAACATAAAAGTGGACTTATTCAATTTATATTTTTTAAATAAACTTTAAAAATAAAATTCATTTGAAATATAAGTGATTTATTTATATTAACTTTATTCTTCATTTGTGTGATTTGTTAAAGGAAAATATTTTATTGCATAAAGAAAGATTTGTTGTCGTTTTAGTGCAAAAACATGATAAGTCAAAATTTATTTAGGATTTTTTCTAAACATAAATTAATATGTTTTTAATATATATTGGTTATGACATAACATTCTCCTATGTCAAAATCTTAGTCCAAACAAACGAGTCAAAGTAACTCTTTGACTTATGTACATATATATACAAAATGTTGAAACTTGCCATTTGGATTAACAATTCCTTAATCATAAAAATCGCTCCTGAATTATATGAAAAATTTATTTAGTACAGTTTTAATATTATAACATTTTTATTATAGTACTTAATTTTGAAAAAAAACTACTTAAATAAAATACTAATATCTTTAAACAAATACTTTCTGTAAAACAAAGGACTTGTAATTCAATAAAACAAATGTACTAAAGAAAAGGAAACTAGATGAATTTGTAGAAATATACAATAGATTTAAATTTTATTTATTAAAAAAACACTCCTTTAATACTAAAATAAGAAGAAATTTTAAAAGAATATATGACATTAACGCCGTTACTGAACTAGAACTGAACTAGAACTGAACTAGAACTGAACTAGAACTGAACTAGAACTGAACTAGAACTGAACTAGAACTGAACTAGAACTGAACTAGAACTGAACTAGAACTGAACTAGAACTGAACTAGAACTGAACTAGAACTGAACTAGAACTGAACTAGAACTGAACTAGAACTGAACTAGAACTGAACTAGAACTGAACTAGAACTGAACTAGAACTGAACTAGAACTGAACTAGAACTGAACTAGAACTGAACTAGAACTGAACTAGAACTGAACTAGAACTGAACTAGAACTGAACTAGAACTGAACTAGAACTGAACTAGAACTGAACTAGAACTAGAACTGAACTAGAACTGAACTAGAACTGAACTAGAACTGAACTAGAACTGAACTAGAACTGAACTAGAACTGAACTAGAACTGAACTAGAACTGAACTAGAACTGAACTAGAAATGAACTAGAAATGAACTAGAACTGAACTAGAACTGAACTAGAACTGAACTAGAACTGAACTAGAACTGAACTAGAACTGACTAGAACTGAACTAGAACTGAACTAGAACTGAACTAGAACTGAACTAGAACTGAACTAGAACTGAACTAGAACTGAACTAGAACTGAACTAGAACTGAACTAGAACTGAACTAGAACTGAACTAGAACTGAACTAGAACTGAACTATAACTGAACTAGCAATACACTTCCCAATATAACGTTTTCGGAATAGGTATCTAAAAATATTTTGCCTTCAGTGATTTATTTAAAAAGTATGATTTTCGTATTTTTTGCCATTATTTCTTATGTAAACTAACCTTATACACCATGACTTCAAAACAATTCAAAACTTTAATTAATTACAAACAAAAACAGCAATCCCCAAACTCATACCAACATTTTTCAAATAAACCGTCATTTGTCATATTTTCAAACCAACAAGCACTTTATTAGTAACTTCGCTAAAGCAGTAGCTTTTCTATAGCTAAATTTCGAAAAAATATTAATACCTAGAAGATTAAAATTTATTGTTAATACAAAAGCCGCTTAATTTTTTAGTTTTTTATGGAAAAAAAAAAAAAACAACAAAGAAAAGGAACCTGTATAATATATAGTTTAATACAAAAAACTTTTATTAATTATGTGAGCTATTTTTTCTCTTCTTTTGTATCCTATGTAATTTTTGAGTCTTTTACTAACAAATTATTAAGTCATGCATTCATACCCGTGTTTGCATAAAGAAACATTTTGTATCATTTTATTTTAATAGATGGTTACAAAAGAAAAAGATTGTTGTGAATAGAGAAAAAAGAAAAATAAAAACAACAAC